GGGGTCCAAATTCATACCTTTACATGTGGGCATCCAGTTGTCCCAGTCCGTTTTTGAAGACTATCTCCCCCACCCCCCATGAAAGGTACTGACAACTTTGTTAAAAATCAGTTGGCCACAAATGAAAGGCTTATTCCTGACTTTCAGATGTACCCACTGAGCCACCTGTCTTTCTGCTAGCACCACTGTGTCTTGATTACTCTTCACAGTAACTTCCAGGGTTGGGAAACCTAAGTCTTCCAAGTCGGTTCTTTCCAAGATTACTTTGGCTACTCTGGGTTCATCATTTATTTTTTCATTTCTACAAAACGAAACAAAACAAAAAACATTTTTTAACTCTTCCAATGGGAAAAGGATATAAACAATGCTAACCCAGGAGCAACAAGCGCTCCTAACACCCAGCGTGGGATTTCTAAGCACCCTTTCCTACAGAAAGGAATCAGGACTCCTGGAAGAAATGGTAGGCTAAAGGCCTGGCCAGGAACTACATCAGCCGAAGCCAGAATAGTTCTGCTGGAAAAGCAAGGAAGCGGTCAAAGATCAGCTGGACTCATGGCCAATGCACCCAGAAGCCAACGTGACGGGAATGCCACCAGAGCAACAAAAAGAGTTGGTTTGATTTGAACGTCAAAAGGAATCACCAAAAATAGGGCTGTATTTCAGAGGAACTAAATAGTTGATGAGAGAAAAACTCATTTTAAGAACAATTCCAACTAATAAATGCAAAAGGAATGAAAACATTTTCAAAACACCACTTTGCAGCCCATCAGAAAACAGTGGAGCGAGACAACATTTTCCAAACAAGGTTAATGCCATTAAGCAAAAGGTTGATGAGGAACTTAAAGATGAATGGGCCAGGCTGACAATACTTGCACCCACTGACCAACCGCATCACTGAAAGTAGGACAATGAGACCAACAGTTCCCAACTCCTCTCTATCAGACAATCCGTGAGGGAACTTCACAGGGTACTAAAGTGGGCACCCCACCCTCAGGGATCGTGCTTCGCTGAGCTGGCACGCAGCCTGGACACTTTAAAAATCCCCAGGTGACCCTAATGCACAGACAAGCTGAGGAACCGCTGAAGCAGATAGGATGTGATTCCTGACATCACGCAGCAATAAGGACAAACCAGGAAGTATTCTTGCTGGAAAAAACTGAACTTGAAA